AAAAATCAATATGAAGACAAAACAGTGTCTCCATGTGGGAGACGCAGAAGAAGTTCCTTGCTCCTGGCTTCAAATTTTCTGAGCTTCTGCCATTGCAATCATTTGGGGAATGAATCAATGGATGATAGATCTTTTTGTCTCTCTTTCTCTCTGCAAATCTGATTTGCCTTTCCAATAAGGATAAATAAATCTAAGAAAAATGTCAGACCTTAACCAGTGTTGGTAATCACTTAAGAGGATAATCTCCTAAAAAATAACATGATACAGTTTTCAGGGCTTTTTGGATATTGTTTAGATTTTTTTCCAGTTAGAATCATGGCATTTATATGTTGTTAAGATCATCTAGACATGTATTACCCCAACAAAGTCAAATTAACTGGTACATACCATTCTTATTAAAAATGGCCCTGTTTACTGACCTCAGTCCCAGTGCTTAGAAGCATGTTCACTTATACAAAGTTCTGTTAAGTTTGTTTTTAGTGTGGTATTTCCTGTTCATGGAATGCCACACTCACTCACCATACGCCACTTCACTCTATCCTCTGACTTCTCATGTTAGACAGCCTTGAAATCATTCCCAAAGTACTCTGCACATATTCTCTCAGCGTCAGTGATCTATCCATTTGCTTTATTGCCTTTTCTTTTTATTCATCAGCAGGCAGGGACCATGACTTTCACCCTGGTCCCTGTGGCACATAGCAGACTATCACAAAAAAATCATTGCTCTCAGTGATAACCAAACCCCTTACTGACTGGTAAGATAAATGTGGCTTGCCAGGTTTTAATTTGTAAAATTGTTAACCTGCTTCATCACAAAAACACCACTGATGGGAAACAACCAAACAACAGGAATCAGTATAAGATTTTAATTTACACTTAGCAACAGAGACTATATTCTACCTCATGACACACCATATGGTAACATTAAGAAACAGTCCTCTCTTGCACTGACCATCAGGGTCGCTCCAGAGCCCCCAAATCAGCTGATAGACAGAGAGAGATTACTATAGAAAGCTTAGAGCAGACAGGGAAAAGTCAGGTTGGCTTTTCCTAGACCTCACTAGGTAGGATGCAAAGTTCAGTTATTCCTCACTAGCTAAGTTACTGGAGATTTCTCTGCACACCCCTCCTAAGACTGTTCTACTCTATATTGCTAATTAGAGTTATAAGTCTGTTTTGATTATCCTTAAATGCAAGAGGTTCTGTAAAATCTTGCTTGAATAGTATAAACTGCTAAATATAAAGAAAATATTTTTAAAAGTTCACACTTAGGGCCCGGCGCGGTGGCGCAAGTGGTTAAAGGTCCTCGCCTTGCACGCCCGGGATCCCATATGGGCGCCGGTTCTAATCCCGGCAGCCCCGCTTCCCTTCCAGCTCCCTGCCTGTGGCCTGGGAAAGCAGCAGAGGACAGCCCAAGGCTTTGGGAACCTGCACCCGCGTGGGAGACCCGGAAGAGGCTCCTGGCTTCGGATCGGCATAGTATCGGCCCGTTGCGCTCACTTGGGGAGTGAATCATCGGACGGAAGATCTTCCTCTCTGTCTCTCCTCTCTGTATATCCGCCTTTCCAATCAAAAAATAATAAAAATAAATCTTTAAAAAAAAAAAAAAAAAAAAAAAAAAGTTCACACTTAGGCAAGCAAGGACAACAAAAATAGTCCCGATGGTCTTCAACTCAAGAGCAAAGCGGTGAAGAAGGCACTGCCTTTTATGCTCTTCATTGATAGCAAAGGACAATAACATGAAACCAATTTTAAAAGTAAAACTAAACAAAAATAAGTCCATGGCAGGATTCTTCAGCAGTAATACCATAAGTTTGTTTACCACTTAACTCTAAAATCACATGTATACTTAACAGACTTCAACTAATAAGGCTTACGGTTCTATTAATATGGAGTCAGATCTAACAACGTAAGATGCCATTTTTAGTCAAACACCCACTGCAAAGTTAACAGCATACTTTAAGCAATTACGTAAAGTACAAAGAGGCAAGAAAACTACCCCACCCTGTGGCCCACAGACTGATTATAAAGAAAATGTTATTGATGAGACAAGACTACAAATATCCAACAGCTTCCAAACAGAAATAGTTTCAATGAGAAATGTAAAATATCAAGAAAATTCTCCTGAAAGAAAAGTGGAAATGACAGTAAGAATGGTTTCTAAATATATGCCATTTCTTAAATTATTTTTCCCATTTTATAGCTGTCATACCAGCTTTTTTTAAAGTGAAACATGGCTATGTTCTTAAGTAAAATTAAAAAAAAATTACCTCAACCATCAGATTATTGGAATGATCTGAATAAGCATGTAACATTGGCCAACAGGCAGTTGGAGTGTTTTAATAAAATTATGTTTAATGTTCTTTTTTTTTCTTCAAACTCCTGAGTATATTGGCTTGAACAGGTGCCTCTAAGAGGAAGTCTTGGGTGCAGTGACCCTACCAAGTAGGGTTGTACTTCCCAGAAACTGGAATCTAAATGACGAATGTCTTTGGTATTAAATTGTTGTGCATGCAAAAAAAAAAAAAAAACCCAAAACCAAAGTAATCAAAACAATAAAACAAAGGTAAAGAAAGAAAACGTACTCCTCTAAAATTAAAATATTATTTTGTAAAGCAATAACTAGAAATACTTCAGAGTCTTGGATTCCAGTGACTTCCAACCAGTGAACAAAACAAGATATATCAAATTCAGATAAAGTTAATAATATACTTGACTTAATTTATCCTCAAGCTGGCATAAAGGACCAAGGTGCTGTAGCACAATTCACTACTATAGAATATTCAACCAAACAATGACCATGTACTGGGCAGGTAATAAAATGAAGGCAAAAAAAAAATGAGAAAAATGAATTAAGCCGAAAGAGTCATTATGTAAGTCTGAAGAAAGAAAAATCAATGGCTAAAGGTAACAGAATATTATAGTACTTACGGTTAACAGGTAAACAAGACAGCAGATGGCTTACAGTAATTCAGGGGAAGTGACAATAGAAAAATATATGGTTGCTATGTTGTGGCTCATAAAGAAAAACATCAAATATTTCAAAAACAAAGAAACAGATTCTTGAAGATAAAGAAAAAAGGAAGATGCTCTATGACAAGGATGAGAAATTTGGGATTTGTATGTTAACGCTCCTTAGTGGCTAAGGGATCATGAGGCTTTCAGAATCTGTAGTTTGGAATCCTTCTTCGCACACACCACAGCCAGCCACTTCTCAGCTAGCCATTACCAACCGCTGAATTCTGGCACTAATGCTGAAACCTATTTGTCATACCTATTCACACTGACACTGTTGAAGCTGTCAATGGAAAACCTTCCTTGAACTTTGCCCAATCTGGTAAGGTTATGTGGTCAAGTGAGGGTTAACTTCCAAACCCTTGTCAAGTCAGGAAATTCTTGAAAAGTAAAATGCAAAAAGGATGTTACAGAAGATAATATAACCTGAAGAGAGAAGATGGATTTCAAAAAGCTAAGCATCTAATAATTTCAAGCCTAATGATATACAGGCATTTTGAAAACAATCATCCGTTATGAAGAAAAGCGATAATCATTTTGGAAAGTAGCAGGAATTAAAACAATGGTTTCATCAATCTCAGTGCACTAGAAATTAAATATAATTGATAACTGGCAAATTAACATGACATTTTCAAAAATGTATATTCACTGCGGTTTCAAAGTCACAGGTTGTGTAATAGTTTGGAAAAAAAAACTGAGAGAAACAACCACCACAGATGATTTTATGTAAAATTTGATACTGACTGGAAGTATATCAACAATTCAGCAATCAAAATGACAGATTTTCTCTAAGAGCAAAACCCTCTGTGGCTATCCGAACAAAAAGTATTTATCTCTAATGAAATTAAGAATAATACAAATCTCATTAAAGAAACCGATGCCTTAGAATTTTTAAAATACTCCTATAACGTTATCTGAACTATGCTCATAAAAACTAAAACAGAAATGCAGTAACAGTGGCTTCATTTTACTACCTTAATTAAAAAAAATAATATCTTCACAGAAATGTGTTTCCAAATATATACAAACTGCTGACCTACACTTGAAACAGGTCACAATCTTAGTCCAATAATAAAAACTGAATATTAAGCAATATTTCAGAGAAAATTCGGTCAAAATATTCACCAAAATCAAATAAATGAATCGTCAAGATGAATGTTAACTTTGTTTTGCTGTGATTAAACATGACCCAACCTCTCTAGAACGATAAGTCGAAAGCTGAATAACAAGACATCTCAGAGGAAAATACACTTCAACCACGAAATCACCTCGGGTGATGTTTATAGCAGCACATTCTGACCATGAGCTCTGCACCCACAGAACTGCACACTCTTTTTCAGTCAGTGAATAAAAACAGCAAGAGCTTTCCATCTGCATATACCTAGCCAGACGCAGGATCTGAGAGTTTTGTAGCAGATCTTGACTTTTAGCAGTCAGCAGCACTTTTAGCCATAAGCCTTGAACATGACAATGCCTTGCCAGCAGTAAGACCAGCCTACCACCTAGACTGAAAGAAAAGTTTCCAAAATCTTCCCTGGAGTAAGCAGCAGGTAACATCTTTGGCTTCTGACCAAAATCACTCTTATGAACGATGGTTTGCTATCCTGCTTTTCCATGACTACATACATAATTTCTTTGGAAACGAGAACAAATTAACACACTAAATATTCTTGCTTGATTTCAAGGTTGTTGTCTCTTGCATTACTAAATTGTGATACATTTTATGTTGTCCTATTCTGTCATCCGTCATTGCAATAAAACATTCTACTTAGTAGTTGTCACAGTCTAATCAGGCACTCCTCTCAAATAAGAGGAAAACAGCTGTTTCTATTAACTGCACAAACTAGCATGGATGCTTTCACACAAAATATACAAAATACGATTCCTTTTCATGAAAGACATTTACCACTGAATTCTAGCAGGTGTAATAGTTTTCTAGGACGCAACTAGTAAAAGTGGAAATTGCTTTAAAATGTTTTTCTTACCTGTGTATGCAGTTTTTACTCTCCAAATACAACATACCAGAAGCAGCATCTAATGAAAATTTCACTAACTGTTTGAGTTTTAATTCATCCTTCTTCTTTCTCAGAAAGGAGAGAAAATCACCTCCTAGAGGAATGGACAGATAAAACAAGGAAATAAAATGAGAGCTAAGTTATACATATCATATATTAGGAATATCTCGTAGAATAAAAATCATTACATATTGGGTCATGTTTCTGTCCAATTTGTTTGAGGTAAGAGTGAAAGAACATGGGAACAGAACAAATCCTACTGGAAAGCAGACTGCACTTCAGCTTTGACGTGCCTGCCTTGCTCAACAAAGCTGCCGTTATCACCACTGGGGAGGGAACCAGCAGATTGGAGCCCTGGTGCGTTCTGTCTCTGTCTGAATCTCAAACTGACACAGTTAAGAAATGTGCTTCACGCTGGTATATTACAGAAGACATAATACATGTGCAAAATCAGCCCTTTCCTTGGTCTCAATTACTGGTCAACTTATTCATTAAAACGTGCAAGATCTGGTTTTCTCTAATTCTAAAGGCTACAGTCATGATGAGTTCTACAAAAAGTAAATTATATTGGATCAATGACTAGATTCAGTGCTGGCGTAAAAATGTGTATTGTGACACAGGATGATGCTGCTGTAAAGTAGCAGCTTAACCCACGACACACATCAGTCCCAATGCAAATTTTTGTCTGAAATGTTTAAGTGGTATTTATATTTCATATGCTTTGCTGCTGGAAAAGTATTCACATACCTAATTTTTTTTCCAAACATACTTAAAATTTGCCAATAACGAAATCAAAGAGCATTTTTAACTTCAATGAACTAAAATGAAATGAAATTCAAAATTTGCTTTTTTAGAAGCAGTAACACATTTCAGGAGCTCAGAGCCACAGTGACTCCCAGAGTGAAGAGTGAAGCAGCCTTAAAGTTTGTTTTCTTTCTTAATGTGGCATTAGAATTTACATAGCTTGATTGCTTTAAATGTGTCAGTTTGTTACATTGCTATAAAAAATAAAGAAGCAAAAAATCAGAGGATGCTTCAAAAAGATTAAAGAGAAATGGTAGTAAAATACAGTGCCTGCTTTCTATGAAGTTTTGAAGTGCCCTCATATTTTAGAAGACATGTTCTCTAACAAGAATCCCTTTCACTTCCCTCAGTTACTAAAATAGCATTTTACCAGAGGGATTAAGCATTTTAATTGTCATTTCCCGAGCTTCCTCACTCTCTTCATTGGGGATCTAGGTTCCTGAAACTGAGACTTCAGAGGCAAGCCTTTTCTTTAGGGACAGAGGCAAGAAAACCCCAGCTTACCCATCAATAAAATGTTTCCTTTTTCAAATGTTTTTTTTTTTTAATTCACATAAATCAAACATTATATAAATTATGTGGGAGTCTGACAAAATCAATGCTATACGGTTTAAATATAACAATTATGTCAGACAATTTACTTTTTCCTGTTCTTTTTCAGAGGAGAATCACACGAATGGCATTATTAAGATGATTACTACAACAACTGATTTTAAGGTCAACTTAAAATCTCAATAGAACACCTAATACTTAATAGTAAATAGCAAAAGTAACCACAAATTTATCAACATTAATAGGTACGAGAGACGCTCATTAAACACGGACTTGAAATGACTTCATGCAGGCTGCTGTTTCAGGGGCAGGCATTTGGCCCCATGGTTAAAATACCCTTGGGGTGAGTCTCCAGCTTCCTGATGTGCACGCGAGAGGCCATTAGGGGATAGCTGAAGCACCTGGGTTCCTATCTACCAGAGGCCATCTGGATTCGAGTTCAAGGCTCCTTGGCTCTGGCAGGCATATGGAAAGTAAAATCTAGTGCTGTCTTTCACTGCTTCTCAAATGAATGAAAAGCAACAAATAAGAAATATTTTAAAGACACCACTTGGACCAAAATTGAGACATTAATTCTTTTACCAGGAATATGTTTGTCTTGTTTTAAAAGGCACTCTTCTGATCTTGAAACCACGTAACATTCTGTTTCAGCTATAGCATAACTCAAATGTAACATGATTTAAAAGCAGCATCTGGCATCACCCCAGTGTTCTTGTATAAAGTCATGATACTATTTCTTTCCAAAGTTAGCTCATATTCTTTCTCATATACTTCCTGCTGTTTTCATATTTCTTCATAAAATCTTCCTTTCATTCCTTCCTCACTACCAAGACTTGGAGAGAATTGTACTTCTCTTGTTAAGTATTTGCTAATGAATTAACAAATTTTTTATTAAATATTGCAAAAAATAAAAATATTAATAGTCAAAGGCAATCCTTAAATATCATAAAAATTTAGTGAAAAGTGAGTTCAAGTCTATAAAGGCATATAGAGAGGTATAAACAATATTGTGACAAGTGAAAGGTACAAACGAGACTGTTGATTGTCTTGTGGTTGACTGAAAAATACCATTTCTGCCTCTGAACAATGCTTTGGCTTAAAAACATTCATTCTAGAAAAAGTATCTAATTTATTCTCATCAGTAGTTACTCAAGCCAGACATAGCGAGCTTATGTAAAGGAGCAGTGCGTCACCACTCCACAGGCCTAGTAATTTCTTGTAGAAAACTGGAGGGAAGCAAAATCTTCAGTAAATCTGTCATATATGACAACTCAGCACTGAGCCTCATGCAGCTGCATGCATTATCGTAGAACAAGAAGTAAATTCCCCAGGGATAGAGAATGGGCCTAATGTTAGAATACTCTAAGAATAATTAACACTGGGCCTGGACTAGTTCCCCAAGGGCACAATACTTGATTCTCATCACGAAGTGAAGAACTGGAGAATGGTTAGATGGTAACAGTTCACAGCACTTATTCACTGCAGGGTTACTTTGGATGGCACGACCTACGCCCTTTTAATCCACTCTTCTGTCATGTTCATTAATGGTCAAATTCAAAACTTCGTTCAGAATGTGTGAAACATACAGTGCTCATATGCACACAGCATAGTGATGTACACCAGAGTAGTTTAAAGAAGAAAATGATGCAAAAAAAATTTAAGTCAATGCATAACTGGTAAATGTGGTGAGGTGCACTGTAATGTTAACAGAAAAGAGGGTACATATGAAAACAATAAAACAGTGCATTTGAATTAAAGTGTAAAGCATGGTTTAAAAGTTTAACTGATACCAAATTAAAGGTATATAGATACTCAGGCATTTAGAACAGTCACAATTTCAGGAAATATAATTTATAACTTACGGTAAATACCGTTTATAGCAAAGCTGAGATAGGCACTTGCTATATGCTCATTGGCTGATGAACAGGTGACTAATGCATTTAAATACATAAATTTAGTGCTCATTTTTAGTTACATTAAAATATAGAAAATAAAGTGCATTCAACTCACAGATTCTGTATCCACAGTCTCAATGAACTACATATTGAAAATGTGATATACATACACAACGCAATACTACTCAGTCATAAAAGAAAAAGTATAAAATTCTGTCTTTGCAACGAAAAGGATGCAACTAGAGACAATTTGCTGAATAAGCCAATCCCACAATGAAAAATGTCTTGGATGGATATTTAGTAGTTGATACAGAATACAGAAGTGTAAGAATAAAACTGACATCTTACGAAATCTGTTCTCTTTATATTAACAAAAGTAATAAAATTAAAATCTTCAAAACTAAACTCTATATTGAATTGACTTATTATCTCACTGTATAGTAACTCTATGTATCATTAAATAAATATTGTAACTAATCTAGAGATGGCTTATAGTATATGGAAGGACGCATGTAGGTTACATGCAAATACCATACTATTTGAAATAAAGGGCCTAAGTATCCACGCTTTCCGGTGAATGTGGGCATCTGGGAGACTTTCCATTAGCTAACTTTTCCAAAGTTAAGGTACATATGTCACTCATATATCCCATGCTGAATAAGATCTTAGGTGCCAAAAAAGTATGACACAGTTTTGTTCTTACTGCCACCTGATCAAGTAACATATTTTTGTAGTCTTTTATCTCACTTTCAGTAACTTTATGCAGCTTTATTTAAAAGGTATCTTCATTTTAAAATTTTTGTTTAGGGCCTAGTGTGGCAGCCTAATGGCTAAAGTCCTTGCCTTGAATGCACTGAGATCCCAAATCCTGGTTGCCCCTCTTCCCATCCAGCTCCCTGCTTATGGCCAGGTTGGCCCAAAGCCTTGGGACCCGGCACCTACTTGGGTGACCTGGAAGAGGTTCCATGCTCCTCGCATCGGATTGGCGAAGCTGGAGCTGTTGGAGTTACCTGGGGAGTGAATCAGTGGATGGAAGATCTCCTCTCTGTCTTTCCTCCTCTCTGTACATTTGATTTTGCAATAAAAATAAAGAAATCTATAAAAAAAATTTAGCTATTTTTACTTATTTGAAAGGCAGGAACACAGGCTATGAAAGATCTTGTATGTACTGGTTCATGCTGCAAATACACACAACAGCTGAGTACTTGGCCAAGTTCAAGTTAGGAGCCTGGAACCCAATCCCGGTCTCATTGTGGATGGTAAGGCCACAATTTGAATCATCATCTGCTTTTTCCCCAGGGAAAATATCAGCACGAAATTAGAAGGGGAGGCAAAGATAGAAGTGGAAACCCAATGCCCCTTCCTGGTTTTGGTTCTCAAATGGGCTTGCATTTGAATAGCTGAAAACTATACACTTATTTTTAAAAAGGCACCACGTAGCATTTTAAAAAAGCAAGGCATACAGACAGATTACAAATGAGTTCACTCACAATCAGCAAGCAGAATATACAAATCTCAAGATTTCTTTCAGTTCATCTCTATAAAACACATTATAGAAGCATATTTGAACTGTTCAGTTAGTTATCTGAGATTTATGCCTGTATTATTTAGAGCAATTTTAATGTTCATTTTATATTTAAAATTACAGATGTCAGAAAACCACATCTTTTAACTTATTTTTTTCCCCATATCTTTGAAAGACAGCATTTGAATGGAAAGAACACCTATGACTCACCTTCCTAAAGGAAGGTGACACCTACCCCAACACTGCCTTGGGAATACAAGAATATTTTGAAATATCCTTGACATCAGCATCTTTATTTTGGCAACAGCCTTGCCATTT